GGACCACGGTTCAATCCCCCAGCACCACATGCCAGCCAGCCCCGCCCCCTGGTGGGCTGAGCTGGCCACACACACACACACACACACACACGCACATAAATAAGTAAAATTAAAAAAAAAAAAAAGAGTACAAATTGAAAAATTATTTTTGATAGTCTTTCACTATTATTTGTACCGCTGGACAAAAACTGTTAATTTTAAGAAATATTTACAAACATGAATAACCAACTCATATTCAATGGTTTCTGAGGACAGTCATGTTTATTCTTCTGTATTTTAAATAGTAGAAAAAGCCACATTCAGAAACCTTTTATTTAAATAATTTTATAATCTAAAATGTTTCAGGCCAGAGATATAGCTCAGTAGCATAAGCGCCTGCCTGGCAAACATAAGGTCCTGAGTTTCATCCCCGGTACTGCAAAAAATAAAATAAAATAAAATAAAATGTTTTATACTTCATATTTGTCTTTCTCAGAAACTAAACCAAACTTTTTAAATCCCCTCTCTGGAGTTAAGAGGTTCCAAAACCACATCTATGAACACCAATTTGAAGAGTCAGGCATTCCCTGAAAAAAGAACATTCACACTGCCTGGCTATCCTACTCCATTTCCAACCTTCACTTTACTGATGTGGGAGTAAGTACAAAGAAAATAAGCCAAAGAGCCCACTAAAATAGATTTGATGGCTGGGGAGATAGCTCAGCAGTATAAGTACCTGCCTGGCAAGTGCAAGTTCCTGAGTTCGATTCCTGGTACCGCAAAAAAAAAAAAAAAAAAAAAAAAGATTTGAATCTACACTTTACCAGTTCATATCAGTGACTTTGGTCAGTTTAGCTATCCTTTCTCAATCACTTTATTTCTATATCTGAAAACTGGAATAAGATGGATGTTTATGATGTTTGCTCAGAATTGCTTCTCTTGTTCTGGGAAGGGATCATCAAAGAAATGCTTCTTGTGGAGGCAACCAATCACAAACCCCTCCTAAGAGATTATATGATATAGCCAGAATCTTTCATCAGGATTCACTGAAATGCAACTGAGCAGAAAGTACCATTTTCATTGTTTCCAAAAAACTGGATGGAGGAGAAGGAAGAGGAAGGGAGAGACAAGAAAGAGAGCCCAAATATTATTTAAATCCCAGGTTAAACTTCCAAGAAGTTAGTTCTGCCCATACCCTCATGGCAGTTTGATTGTGTAGGCAACATACCTTTCCTTTTCTCACCTCTCTTTAAAAAATAAAAAATAAAAAATAAAAAATAAAAATTGAGACCTAACTCAGGAATTCAACTTTAGCCAGTACTTTCTTTTTAATTTTTTGGCAGAACTAGGAATTGAACTTAAGCCCTTGCACTTGCCAGGGAAGAGCTTATTCTACTGAGCCATTTCCCTGGCCCCTTAACTCAGGAATTCAACTACCTTGCAAGGCTACCATAAAGAACAAACAATGACTGTAAAGCATTTAGAATAATCCTCAAAATTTTTCTGAGTTCTTCCAAAGTTAAAGACTAAAACAAGATCCAGTATTTCTCTAAAGGTCTAGTTAGTGTTAAGTGTAGAAGACAGTATGAAAAGGCAATTCTTAAGTTGAACAACACAGAGATTTGTCTACAATTAGAACAGACCCTATTGAGATTATCAGAGACACTTAACAAAAACCACTAATTATGACAAGAGAAATGTCTTATACTACTAACACATTCTGAATCCTGTTTTGTTCTTTTCTCATATCAACGTTAGTCTATACTTTGTTAGTGATGTCAAATATGTCCCAATCCTTAACTGCTACTTTGTCACTAACCATTACTCCTTTCTTCATGCTAGCAAATTTCTCTAACCCAAATAGACCTGCTGAGTAAAAAGTGACCATGCTCAGAGTCATTTTAAAAGAGATTCACTAGAGAAGTTCCTATAAATTTTTGAAATTAATTGGGCTATGCCCTGAACCTACTCATTGTAGGAAAAATGGTGATGCCTAACAATACCAGCCCTAATTCCTAGAAATTGTGAATGTTACTTTATATAGCAAAGGGACTTGGCAAAAATGATTATAAAGTGGGACCTGGAGATGGGAGATTATCCTGAATTTTCCAGGCGGGCCCTGTGTAATCACATGGGTCCTTAAAAGAACAAGATAAAGGCAGAAGAGCCAGAAAAAGCAAGATAACAACAGAAGAGGAGTCACAGAGAAGTGTGCCAGTGGTGAAAGAATGCAGTCCTCCTATAGAAATGCAAAAGAGAAGGAAATGGATTTTCTCCTGGAACTTGAGAAGAACCCTATCCTGACTCCTTGATTATAGTGAGACAAGTACCAGACTTGTGAACTACAGAACTGTGAAATAATAAATCTGTACTGCTTACAGCCACTACATCTGTGGTAATTTGTTATGGCAGCAATAGGAAACAAAATACACTAATAAACTCTAATTGATCCATTCCTGACCACATCTCCAGCATTCTGAAATACTAACCTCTCCCTTGTCTGTTGGTGTTGCTCTCATCTTATTGAGCAAGCTCTACAATTTAATAAACAGATCAGTGATGAAATGTTTAATATATGACAATCTTACACACTTGAGATAGACACTGCTTTAGAAATCACTTAAGACAGTAGCCCAGCAGAAAGGCTTACAACAAACTACTCATCACTCCCTCTTGACATGGAATTCTACAATTAGTTCTTCACCCAACAATCATTGTGATCTTGTGTTTTTATAGTTCTTAAATGAATGCCACACCAGACGTAACTGCAGACGACAGGTAGATTACATCAACTATTTCTCAATCTCTACTAGAATGAAATCAAATTAATCTGATAAGAAATTTATGTCATGGAATTACGATGACCAAGAATCATGTAAAACTAATAATATTTCACACTTAAGAATACTGGAAACACTTCTCAGAGGACAAAATTAAAGAAGCGAATAAATATATGAAACAATGCTCCACATCACGAGCCATCCGTGAAATGCAAATTAAAACAACACTGAGATATCATCTCACCCCAGAAAGATTGGCTATCATAAAGAAATCAACCAACAACAAATGTTGGAGAGGCTGTG